TAGGGCAGGCGGGTATCTTGGCTTCCTCCATTGCCCGGGCCACCAAGCCTCCTGCTTGCTCCAGCTCAGTGGCTGCGGGCCACCATCTTGGTTGGGTTAATTTGCATATAGTTGCTCTGATTGGCTGGTGGGCATGGCTTAGGGCATAACGAAGGTACGGTCAATTAGCATCTTTGTCTTTTATTAGTGTAGATGCTTTCATACAATGTTGATGATATCTGTATGATTAAAATAGCAATTGATGGAAATTTATATTTTCTGCTGTTGATTTTTTAATATACCTACTTTTGTTCCTAATTTTCTAGGTTGTCAGAAGGAGACCAGGTGGCCATAAATATACATTTTGGGATGGCTCTTTTGGTCAGTGGCTTTTGTCTCCTGACAGTGACTGAGAGAATCACTAAGGCAAAGCTCATCCAGTTTCTGAGTGGGGTCTATGTCCTTGCATACTGGCTTTCTGCTCTACTGTGGGATCTCACCATCTTCTTCATTGCCTGCTGCCTACTGCTGGTGAGTGTTAAATAAAGATTTTTTGAGAGCTTCTTTATTTTTGGTACGCTGTGGAAATTTGCTACTCTCAAATTATATCATAAATTTAACTCTGCTGATAAATTATCGTTGCTCATTATCTTAGAAAACACACTGAAATGTGTGTACATTTTAATCAAGAGGCATGTGAAAGAAAATCTTTGGAATTCATAATAATTTTGTATCCTCACCAAAGGATATGCTTATTGATTTTAGAGAGAGAGGAAGGAAGAGATAGCACCCCAACTGAATATTAAACCCCCAAACTAGGTATGTGTCCTGACCAGAAATCAAACCCGCAATCTTTTGGTGTATGGGATGACACTTCATCTGATTGAGCCACACAGCCAGGGCCATAATAATTTTATGAGATAAATTATATTCCCCAAATTTCATATGTTTAATTTCTAAACACCAGTTCTTCAAAAATGTAACTATAGTTAAAGTTGGGGCTTTCAAATAGTTATTATTTGCATTTCAAATTCAAGTTAAAATGAAGCAGTTAGGGTGGGTCCCAATTCAATCTGACTGGTGTCCTTTTTATGAAGAGAAAACTTAAACATACAAAAAGACAAGGTAGTATAAACCACCCAAGCACTGCAGCAACTAGAAAAAATACTTAAAAAGCAGGAGGAGAGCCTAAGGGAGCCTTGGGACATGAAACAAACAAACAAACAAAAAACCCATCCACATAATAGGGGTGTCAGAAGGGGAGGAAGTGGAGCAAGGAATAGGAAACCAGTTTGAAGAAATAATGACAGAAAACTTCCCTGATATTGGGAAGAAAAAAGCCACACAAGCCTAAGAAGCTCACAGAGTCCCAAACAAGATGAAACCCAAAAGACCAACACCAAGATACATTATAATTAAATTGGCAAATATCAAGGACAAAGTAAGAATCTTAAAGGCTGCCAGAGAGAAAATTACTTACAAGCGATCTTCGATTAGACTATCAACTGACTTCTCAACAGAAACACATCAGGCCAGAAGGGAATGGAATGAAATATACAAAGTGATGCAAGGCAAGGGACTGAAGCCAAGAACACTATACGCAGCAAGGCTATCATTCAAAATTGAAGGTGAATTCAGGAGCTTTACAGACAAAAAAGGGCTAAGTGAGTTCATTACGACCAAACCAGCAATGCACGAAATGCTAAAGGGACGGCTGTAAAAAAAAGAAATAGAATGGGAAGAAGGAAAACAGGCATAAAGAATAAAAATGGTGACAAACAAGTACCTATCAATAATAACCTTAAACATAAATGGATTCAATGCTCCAATCAAAAGACATAGGGAAGCTGAATGGTTAGAAAACATGACCCATGTATTTGCTGTCTACAATAGACCCACCTCAGAACAAAGGACTCACACAGACTGATAGTGAAAGGATGGGAAAAAATTTTTCAGGCAAATGGGAATGAGAAAAAAATCTGGGTAGTAATACTTATATTTGACATAATAGACCTCAAAATAAAGGCCATATCAAGAGATAAGGAGGGCCACTACATAACACTAAAGGGAGCAATTCAACAAGGATATAACTCTGATGAACATATATGCACCCAACACAGGAGCACCCAAATACATTAAAAAAAACCTTCTGGAAGATATCAAGGGAGAGATCAACAGCAGTAAAATCATATTAGGGGACCTTAATACCCCATTGGCACCACTGGTAAATCCTCTAAACAAAAAATCAGCAAAGAAACACCAATCCTAAATGACTCACCAGATCAGATGGAACTAATTGACATCTTCAGAATATTTCACCCCAAAGCTACAGAATATACATTCTTCTCAAGTGCACATGGGACACTTTCAAAGATAGACTACATATTAGAGACCACATATTAGGACATAGGAAAAGTTTCTTCAAATTAAAAAACATTGAAATCATATCAAGCATCTTCTCAGACCACAATGGCATAATATTAGAAATAAACTACAATAAAAACAAACAAATTCAAATACTTGGAGGCTAAATATCATGTTTTTCTATACAAAGGATCAATAAAACCAAGAGCTGGTTCTTTGAAAGGATCAAAGATGAGTGGATTAAAAACTGCGGTACATCTATACAATGGAATACTATGCTGCAGTAAAAAAAGAAGGAACTCTTACCATTTGCAATAGCATGGATAGACCTGGAGAGCAATATGCTAAGCGAAATAAGCCAATTGGAGAAAAATAAATATCCCATGATCTCACTCATATGTGGAACATAATGAACAAGGTAAGCTGATGAACAAAAATAGAAACAGTCATAGAAGCATGGAACAGACCATCCAACCTAAGAGGGAAGGCAGGGGAGGGGGGTAAGCAATCACCCCAAGGACTTGTATGTGTGCATATAGGCATATCCAATGGACACAGAGAGTAGGGGGTGAGGGCATGTGCTGGGGAGTGGGAGTGGCTGGGGAGAGGTCAATGGGGGGAAAAGGAGACTTCTGTAATACTGTAAACAATAAAGGATTTAAATGGTGGGGGGAAAAGAAGTATCATCTGGGTTGTCTGACAATGTGACTCCCCCAGCCTCTGGTGCAAGTTGTTGTGGTGTGCTCATGGTTCTGGCTCTTGTGAAAAGGGTTGCCTGAGGTCTCATTGGCTGCCGTGGATCCCGGAGTCCATGGCCTGAGCGGAAGGAGTCTCTGGGCCTGAGGTAGTGTGACTCTGGCCTGTGTGGTGTGACTCTTGCTGGGGTAGTGTCACTGCAAATCACTGCGAGGGTCCAGGAGCCTGTGATGATGGGAGGCACGTGTCCCGTGTCTGTGGATGAGGCAGTGGGGACTGGCCAGGGTGATTTCACTCTGCGAATCACAGGGGGTAAAGGTGGAGAGGGGGCAGGGGCCAGCGGCTGGGGATGTGGGAATCTCGGAGTCTGTGGCTGAAACAGCACAATTTGACCAGAGAGGCAGCACGGGAGGGGGAAGTCACGGGGTCTGTGCTGGAGCCTTGTGTCCTCAGCTGCAGAGGCACACACTCAGCAACTCCTGAGGGGCCCACGTCCTGGGCCCGGGAGTGGTAGCGGCAGGTTCTACAGCTGAAGCCGAGCGTCCTTGCCTGCAGGAGCGCACCCTCAGCAACTCATCCATGGGCCCAGGATCCAGTGACCCAGCAAGCAGTATTCTTGGTGTCCATTGCTGGAGCAGCAGGACTGCAGTGTTCAGAAGCCGGCCCGGGAGGGGGCAGTCACGGGCCGCCTCTGGGCTGGAGTGGTGCAACTGCGGTGTCCAGGAGGTGGATGTCCTGGGGTCTGCAGGTCTGCACCGAGGCAGCATGACTTTGGCTGTGTGGCTGCAGGGTCTCGGGCAGTGTCCAAGGCAGTCTGGATGGTGGTGAGGCTGGGTTCCTAGTGGAGGCCACTCTCCCCTTCTAAATGGCATGGGCTCCATGCCCAAGCCCCACAGCCGAGGGAGTGCCCACAGCAGTGGCAGGGCCTCTCCGTCCATGAGAGCTCCATCTGCCAGACCCCAAGACTCTTGAGAGATCTGTCCCTCACTCACACACGCACACACCACACACGTCCACACACACCTCTTTCACTCCCTTACTCACACTCTCTCCCTCACTGCTGTCCTGCCAGCTGCTGTCTTCTCATCTCCTACAAAGCATTATTAAAAGAGATTGCAAAAAAGCCTGATCCATGTGGCTCAGTGGTTGAGAATGGACCTATGAACCGGTCAGTCACAGGTCAATTCCTGGTCAAGGCACTTGCCCAGATTGTGGGCTCAATCCCCAGTAGGGGTCATGCAGGAAGCAGCCAATCAGTGCTTCTCTGTCATCATTTATGTTTCTATCTCTCCCACTCCCTTCCTCTCTGAAATAAATAAAAATATATTAAAATTTTTTAAAGAGAGTGGAAAAGATACAATGAAATGGGAAGATATTCCATGTTCATGGATTGGAAAAGTCAACATAGTTAAAATGGCCATATTACCCAAAGCAATATATATATATCGATTTAATGCAATCCCCATGAAAATCCCAATCCCATTTTTAAAAGAAATAGAACAACATCATCAGATTTGTATGGAATCACAAAAGACCTCAGTAGCCAAAGCAATCCTGAGAAAAAAAAGAATGAAGCTGGAGGTATCACGCTGCCTGACTTCAAATTATACTAAAGGACAATGATAATCAAACAGCAGAAAAACAGATACACAACCCAATGTAACAGTCTTGGGAGTGCAGAAATAAAACCACATGTATATCAGCAAATAATTTTTTACAAGGAGCCAAAACATACAATGGAGTAAGGAAAACCTCTTCAATAAATGGTGCTGGGGAAATTGTAAAGATATATGCAAAAGAATGAAAGTAAAATATAGTTTGTCTCCATGTACAAAAATTTATTCAAATGGCCTACCCCGTGTGGCTCAGTGGATTGAACATCATCGCATGCACCAAAAGGTCACCTGGCCAGGGTACATGCCCAGGTTGCGGGCTCGAGCCCCAGTAGGGGGTGTGCACTAGGTGGCCGATTGGTAATTCTTTCTCATCATGGATGTTTCTATATCTCTTTCCTTCTCCCTTTACGTCTATCTAAAAATCACATTTTTAAAAAAGTTAAAATATTTACTCAAATGAACAAAAGACATAAATATAAGATCTGAAACAATAAATTACATGGAAGAAAAGGTAGGTACTAAATTTATGAGCCTTGGTCTTAGAGAACATTTCATGAATTTGACCCCAAAGGCAAGAGAGATAAAAGCAAAAATAACGAATGGCACTATATCAAACTAAAAAGCTTCTGCACAACAAAGAAATTGCCAACAAAACAAAAAGACAACCAGCAAAATAGAGGAAGATATTTGGAAACAACAGCTCTGACAAGGGGTTAATATCCAAAACACATAAAGAGCTCATACAATTCAACACCCAACAAATAACCCAATTAAAAAACGGGCAGAGAACTTGAACAGACATCTCTCCCAAGAAGACATATAAATGGCCAACAAATATATTCAAAGATGCTCAACTTCACTAGCTATTAGATAAATGCAAATCAAAACTACAATGAGATACCACCCCACCTGTTAGAATGGCTATTATAAGTAAGACAAGTAATAACAAGTGTTGGAGCGGTTTTGGAGGAAAAGGAGCCCTCACTTACTGCTGGTAGAAACGTACACTGGTACGGCCACTATGGACACCAGTATGGAGGCTCCTCAAAAATTAAAACTGTGGCTACCATATAACCCAGCCTTCCCACATCTTCCTTATCCAATCATCTATGGAAGAGCACTTCAGTTGTTTCCATGTCTTGGCCATGATGAATAAGGATGCAGTGAATATAGGGGTACATATATCTTTTTGAATAAATGCTTTCAAATCTTTCTGGTGGATATTTATGGAATACTACTCAGCAATAAGAAAAGATGAAATACTGCCATCTGCGACAAAATGGATGGATCTTGAAAATATCATGCTAAGCAAAATAAGAGAAAGCTAAGAACCATATGATCTCACTAAGATGTGGGCTATAAAACTGAAACTCACAGGCACAGACAACAGAATGGTGGCTACCAGAGGGAAGGGGGTTTAGGAATAGAAGGCAAAGGACGTCAACTATATGGTGATGGAAGATGATTTGACTTTGCATCATGGGCACACCATGCAATATACAGATCATGTATCATAAAAATGTGATACATGATACCTATATAATATTAACCAATGTCACCCCAATAAATTTAATTTAAAAAAAAAGATGGACATGGATACTAAGGAAAGCCTATTGTTACTACATGTAATTACTCTGTGCAATGAATTATGGGGTGGGGAGTGAAAGACAAATTAAAAAGCAAAAAGTGTAATAGCAAAAACATAAGAGAAAACATGGGAGTGGGAATTTAGAGTGCCAGCGAGGCAAAATTTAAAGAGCACGGAATCTGGAGACAATAACCTTGGCTACTTTAGAATCCGCCACCTCAGGCAAACCACTTAAATGGTTTGTGAAATGCGAATAATGACACAACCATGCTTACTTCACTGGCTGCTGAGAATGACACTGTAAAGGGAAAAGTACCAACAAGAAAAAGAGATTTAGAAAGAAATCTCAGAGTTGCTGCAGTGGATGTGATGAAGTGTGGGAGTGGAATAGAACCAGGAGACCTAGCTTAAAGGTGGATAGCAGTGATAGGTCAGGCATGCAATCAGGAGGAAAAATATTTAAAGAAATAGTTCCTCTTTAGATAAATAATCTACTTTCTGGGCAAGTGGAGAATTCGGATTATTTGGGGAAAACGATACTGATTCTGTTTATGAATTTAAAAAACTCTCCCAAATGGAGTTACAACGGTTCTGTCTCTGGACTGCCCTTGGAGAAGGAGAAGCGAGGAGGGCTTTTTTGTTTTAAGGCAAAATGATCTAATTAATGAGTATTCTGTGCTAAATAAGAACAGGTCTTGCTATTTCCTTTTCTAAGTGTTCTAGCTTGAATTATTTTTGCACTTAGGCCTCACTTGCCTTTATCACTGTATCCTGTGTATTCCAGGGCGTGTTCAAGGTCTGCCAACTGGACATGTTTCTCACAGACTACCACTTTCTGGACACAATGCTGATTTTCATGCTGTTCGGCTGGAGTGCCATCCCCCTCGTATATCTGCTGAGCTTCCTGTTTTCCCAAAGTACTTCTGCCTACATCAAACTTATGGTGTTCAGCTACCTTTCAGGCATTTTCAGTATCATCATAGATGCCACGCTTCAGTTTGGTAAGTGTAAATAAATGAGGACTTTAGGAGACAATTGCTGGGGTCCAACCCCAGCAGGTCCAGGGGTTCCCCAAAGGTGTGGACGGAGTCGGTGAAGAAGGAATGACACGGAGACAGCGTTCAGTTGATCAGCAGCCTAGCCAGGATCTCCAGCCAAGTTCTGGTTAGGATCTCGAGCGAAGTTCTTATTAGGATCTCTAGGTCAGATTCTCCAGGTTCTCCAGCCAGGTTCAGTCACCAGGTTCTACTGCCATGTTTTATCCAGGTTCTGTAGCCAGGTTCTGTCTCTTGGATCTTCAGCCAGGTGCTCTCGCTAGGTTCTGTCTCTAAGTTCTGTTGCCAGTTTCTGTCCAGGATCTTTTGCCATGTTCTGTCTCTAGATTCTGTGTCTAGGTTCTGTGTCCTGTTGTCTTGTTACATCTGTATTTAAACACATAGTGCCAAGAAGGTGAGCAAACATATTAAGAACAGTATGCCATATATGCCAGGTCCCTTGAAACAGCAAGGATGGACCGGCTCCCAGCAGACAATTATGTTCCAGGTTTGGGAAAATCCTGAACTTGATGTAAGTCAATAAAAATTACCTTGAGCCTGGCCAGTGTGACTCAGTGGTTGAGCTGAGGTCATGGTTCAATTCCCAGTCAGGGCACATGCTCAAGTTGTGGTCTCGAATCCCAAGAGGCCCATGCAGGAGGCAGCCGATGATTCTCTCTCATCATTGATGTTTCCATTTTTCTCTCCCGCTCCCTTCCTCTCTGAAATCAATAAAAACGTACATTGAGAGCCTGTGAACCCACTCCAGGTCTGCTGGAACGGGGTCTTCCTACTGAAGTGACGGGACTGTACCTGATATATGGTTCTTTGACAAGATTCCTCCTTCTTACCCTCACACCCAGTAACACTATCACATGACTTAAGGAAACTGTTTTGCACAAGATTTTGGACATTTTAGGAGCATTTGTTTCTGAAACTCATTTCTCAGAAAAAGACAAAAAAATGAAAAGAGAAGCTTTATTCTTAAAAGGACAGGCCTCAGTAAGTTAGAATAAATCATATTAAAAATACACTTGACCGTAGACCCTCATTATTTTTAAAAGTGAGATCCCTTGATGTTGGGCACTTTATAGTGTGGTGATGGGAGGGAAGAGTGGAGAAGGATCCTGAATTCTTGAGAGAGGCCAGCAGTTTCATCGAGGAGAGGTGTGCGGTGCAGCCATTCTTCCCGAACTTAAAGATCCTGAGCAGCCAAATGTGATTTCCCAGAAAGAAGAAAAACTCTGTGTGCACCTGACACCCGTACAGCTGAGCCAGCTCTGCTTCCTTCCTGCACGTCAGCCTGGCTTCTGCAGGATTCTTACATTTGTCTCTCCCCTCACCCCTTCCTTCTCTGACGAGAGTTTGAACTGGCTTGAGCACTTGACCACTTCATTTCTCTCTGTGATCACAGAGCCCCATAAGCACAGGCTTCCCACCTCATTCCCTGTCACAAAAAGAGTATTTCACATGAGTAAGACTTATGCCTCTGGTTGGCAGACAAAAAAATGTTGAGATTTGCCTTAGCACTAATTCTCAAAGCAATCCCAAAATTATGGGAAGCAATATCTGTATATGCTGCACACCTCTTTACTGTGCTAAGTGGGGAAGACTCCCCTTAAATCATCTGAGTTTGTGAGTTTATACGTATAAAATGCATAGACATAGACAGCAGAGGAAAATGGGGCAGGGAAGGGACGAGGGAAGGATGGGGACAGAAAGGGACTGTTCTTTGAGCAATAGGCGCATGATGAGGTGTGCAGATGGTATTTTGTTGAGCCTGTTTGGTTTGGTGAACTAATGTCACCCCAATAAAAATCCTATTTAATTAAAGGCTAATATGCAAATTGACTGAATGGCAGAATGAATGCTCACTATGACACACACTGACCACCAGGGAGCAGATGCTCAGTGCAGGAGCTGCCATCTGGTGGTCAATGTGCTTCCTCAGGGGGAGCGCCACTCAGCCAGAGACTGGGCTCATGGCTGGTGAGTGCAGCAGTGATGGCGGGAACCTCTCCCACCTCCACGGCAGAGCTAAGGATTTCTGACTGATGGCTCCTGGACTGCGAGAGGGCAGGCCAGTCTGAGGGACCCTCAAGTGCATGAATTTCATGCACCGAGTCTCTAGTAATTAATAAGAAGAATTAGAAGAAATTACTGATTTAACTCTTGGACTTGAAGAAGATGGCGGCGATATAGGCAGACGCGTCATTTTGGGGGAAGAATATGTTTCAAAGAGACATGAAGGGTGAGAACAAAAAAAGAAGCCAATAGACTTGGCAATTAGAATGTCAAAGGAGACTTCCTTTTTTCAGTATCAGAACAAACACTGTAAATGATACTCTATCAAAATAATGAATTAAGAAGAAAGTATGGAATTGGCAGAGGCCAACCAACAGTAAAATAGAAGCTCGTGTTCCTGAAGGTAAGCAAGCGTGAAAGGTAGCTCTGACGTGAGCTCATTGGCAGAATCTGGTTCCCTGCACTTCACATTTGCACAGGTAGTGAGTAACCTGAAGTCAGAGCAGAAAGCATGAAGCATGTACCACAAAGGTTTCAGTAGCTTCCTACCTAAAACTGGAGTTAGAAGGGCTTCAGGACAAGGGTGAAGAAAACCTAACTAATGCCACAGTGGGACACAGAAAGGAAATTCACAAAATTTGAATTTGGCACTGGAACAAAGAATAGTAATCTCCCTTTTAATTTGTAACCACAGGCAAGTCCCCATACTGGTTTGTTTCCTGAAATCATAGTACCTATATAACCCAAAAAACATACCAGATCATTTATTTAAAATAACTTCAGTTGATTGTGTTCCCAGGTGAGTGGCAAAGGTATACACAATTCCCAGACTTCCAAGTACTCCCACAGGTAAATTATCTAGAGAAATTGAGATGAGCTTAAAATTACAAAGAAAAAAAAGAAGCGAGGACCTAAGAGCAAATGCTACCAGAAAACACAAACTGTAGAATAAGAATCAGGCCTGCAACATTTAAGATTTGAAGATTTTTAGAATAGAACATAAAATATGTATTTTTAAAATATCTAACTAGTAACAGGGAGTGTCAGGTCTATGAGCATATAGAACATATATACATATATTGCACATATGCATGTACTATAGATACATATGTATGGGCACTATATATGTATATGGAGAGAGAGAGAAAAAGTAGATTTGAAAAAGATCCAAATAGAATCTTAAAAAATGAAAAGAATGAATTTAAATTAAGTACTTAATAGATAGAAGTATCAGAATATTAGCCAGTTGAAACAGTTGAAGAGGGAATTGGTGGTTAAAGATGAATATAAAAGAGTCACAGTCTTGCAACTGATCAACATGGTTAAATCCCTCCTATTGAAATACCAACAGCAATTAAGACTCAACTACAACAGGAGGATGTACAGCCCACTGGGCCCTACAGGTACCTACTACATTAGGCCATGCTACCAAGCCTGAGAGATGTAGCATCTTTACCTAATACATAGAAAGAAACATGGGGTGGGAGCTGCCAAAATGAGGGGACAAAGAAACATGTCCCAGATGAAACAATAGAACAAAACTCCAGAAAAAGAACTTAATAAAGTGGAGATAAGCAATCTACTAAATGTAGAGTTCAAAACACTGGTTATAAGGATGCTCAAGGAACTTTGTGAGGACCTCAACAACATAAAAAAGAACCAGTTAGAAATGAAAGCTACACTAAGAAATAAAGAATAATTAAAAGGGATTTAACAGTTGAGTAGATGAAGCTAAGAATCAAGTCAGTGATATGGAATATAAGGAAGCAAAAAACACCCATTTGGAACAGCAAAAAGAAAAAAAAGGGATAGTGTAAGGAGTCTATGGAACAACTTCAATCATACCAACATATTATCATGGGGGTGCCAAAAGGAGAAGAGAGAAAGCAAGAAATTGAAAGCTTATTTGAAAAAAATGACAGATTTCTGTAACTTGGTGAAGGAAGTAGACATAGAAATCCAGGAAGCACAGAGTCCCAAACAAAGTGAACCCAAAGAGACCCACATTGAGACATATAATTAAAATGCCAAAAGTTAAATTAAAAAAAAGAGAGAGAATCTTAAAAGCAGCAAGAGAAAAGCTCCCTATAAGGGAGCACCCATACGACTATCAGCTGATTTCTCAACAGAAACTTTGCAGGCCAGAAGGAAGTGGCAAGAAATATTCAAAGTGACCTAAGCAAGATTACTCTACACAGCAAAGCTATCATTTAGTGACCTAAGCGATTACTCTACACAGCAAAGCTATCATTTAGAATTGAAGGTCAGAGAGAGGAAACCAAGATGGCGGCATAGGTTAACGCCGGAGTTTGCTGTCTCGAACAACCACTTCAGAGATACAACTAAAGGACGGAGAAGACGTCATCCAGAACCATAGGAAGGCTGGCTGAGTGGAAATTCTACAACTAGGAGGAAAGAGAATATCATACCCAGACTAAGGAGGAGCAGTGCGGAAGTGAGATACTAAGGTGCGGAGTACATGCGGGCTGGCGGCTGAGGGGGGG